AGTCACGTTGTATCCGGTTCGAACCGATTTGATTTAGCAGGGCATACGTAAGTAATTACGCGATGAATCGCGCCGATTCTGTGAGATAACATAACCAGAATACATCAATTAAATCGACGGTAACTCGGGCAGAATACAAACAGCTTTACTGTGCTAACTATCGTCACTTTGACAATCTGTCATTTTGACGAATTTGGTTGTTCTAGTATTAGTATTTGACAGAGTACACGTCACTGGCTATCGAGGTGTTCAATTCCAGGATTGAGATCCTAAGCACCGTGCTCTTAGGGACTCTTTGTATTTATAGGATAGCATAGTGCGGGGAATAATTTGACAGGGGAAATAATCTCCAAGTTCGATAGTATCTTTTATTAACATTAAAATTCTCCAAGCTTCTGATACACGTTGACAGCCACGTGGAAAGGAAAATTTGTCGACTGGACCAAATGGTGCACGATTCGAACAATGGTTCTCTGGGATTGCCAAAAAAATAAGTAATCGGATATATCGGAGGGATGGTGGTGGTTGTTGCGTCTCGTTAATTCGCGTCGCAAAGTCGCCCAAGAGAATATCGGGCCAACGGTCTGCCAACGGTTGGCAAACGTTCTCGACCAGTCGATCTCTCGAATTTCCAGGCGGTGCTTGTTCGTGTTTCGTGTTCCAGTTGCTCGGTTCCCGTATCTGGCTCGAATCTTCCGAAGAATCGTTCGCTGACCCGATGCTCCACTTTTCCTTAAATCTCTCGACAGCTCTTTCGACAAAAGTTCGCAGCTCGAACTGCGGCATTACTTTGATTCCGCTTTGTTGACCAACGAGGGAGTGATACCAAGCAGCTGAAAACTCGCGACCGATCTCGATAAAATTCAACTTCTTCAGAGGTTTCTCGGGATATTCGAGATTATGCGAAGTTTCAGCTGCTTTGAGAATGTTTGAACTTTACGATCGTGTGTAAATTCAGTCTTATATTAGCTTGCCTACTAAACTCGCGCATTTCATGTTTCTCCCTGCACGATTATTTATTACCCTGGAACTATACGAAATAGAGGGAGTTATATTTACAAACTTTCGATATTAAAGTTGTCAACTTTACTCGCATATCTCGCATATCAGTTTGGCAGGTGAAATCGATTAAGGGTCCGGTTGGAAGACGTATCAACGGATTAATCGCGTTCGAAGCCCGCTTAGCCACTTAGGATAACTTATACACGTCCAAGTGTTTACAACAACATTGTACACTCGCATGCTTCTTAACGTAATTGCATTCTCCCTGCTTGCATAAACTGCAACGCCACGTGTCGATCATCCTTCAACTTTCCTCGAATCTCAAATCCCTCAAATTCTGGTTAAATATTAAATTAAATCAGCCGGTATTGTAATTTGACCACGATTAATATTTCATCAGAAACTTGTAATTAGCAGTTTGAATAATTTACAATGGCAACGACGAAACTGTAGCTTGTTTCCTTTGCACATTTTATTACGTCGAATAATTCGAATAATTGACTCGTTGCCGTACCAGTAAATTGCTTCATAATTAATATTCTGTGGTGATCAATATTCTATTTCCGTGGCGGTTCGGAATCGTAATCGATCCTTCTCTTCTTTCGTTCGACGCGGAAAGGCTTTATTTACCAGACTGTTATCGATATCGCGATCGAGGATACATCGTGATTACCCAGGCCACGTTCACGGACTTCCATTTGACGCGCTTTTAACGTTGATTCAAGAGAGGAGGGCATAATGGAGGGAGCAAACACGATTAAAATAATTAGGGATGCATGATACTCGATGCAATTTGTCAGCTGGAAACCGACTAAATAACCGTTTAAACAGGCGCCGCGACGCCGCGATTTCACGTCGACGATGGTCTTCCTTGATTACACAGGGTGTTCGTGGAACCTGGTACGGACCAGTTGCTGCTGTAACGTCAGCTTGCATTTACTTTTCTGTCTACTTTTTGTGGAACACATCTTGACAGCTGTTTTTCCTCTGTCAGCCATTCTTCACAATAGTATTTTAAACGTTTCGTTTTATCTCTCAGTTATTTCTAGGCGAGTTGTTCTATTCAATTGAAGCTAAATTTCTGTGGCATACGATTTTGCAAAAATTTAAGAACCGAATTGTCAATGAAAAATTGTCAATAGAAAAATCCACGAATCGAGCTAGAGTTCAAATTGAATTCATTACGGAAGGAAGGAAGCCGAATCAGCCGAGTGCATTGACGAAAAGATGCCGCTCTTTAATCTGGGAAATAGTGTCTGTGAGACCGGAAACCGTGTACGAAATCGGATGGTCCACAATAGTTGGATCAATCGGGAAGATTGAAAAGAACCGGTGGATGGAAAGCGGCGAAGAAAGACGCCTTCGAGACGCCGAGTCGATAACTTGACCAATAGAGTCGAATGGGTAAATCAGGGTGGAGCAAATCGACTTCAGGGAGGCAAGGGGAATCTGATAGATGCAGTGAAATCGGAAAAATCCCTATATTAGCGAAATGTTACTAGTTTAAGAGACGATTTAACGAACGTTCCGACGTAAGCTCGTTTAAACTTTCGATAAAACGAATTCCATCGACGATCCCGACGTGATTATTCTTTCTGGATAACGAACGCGGGGATATACAATTTACAAAGGAACAAAGAAACAAATCAGCGAGTTAATATTGACTGGCCTACTTTTTTAAATTGCTAGATGCACCGTCGGTTTGTTATTTCGCCGAGCCTGTTTCGAATATTGAACCTCTCCTAATTGCTGTACACTTTTCCAGCTCGAGATCTTCTTAAGAATCTCATTATCTCCGTTGCTATAACCTTAGAATACAAATGTAGCCGGCCGACCCTTGGCTGAGAAAAAAAGAAGAGAAATTTTCCTTCTGAACATCGAGGCTCTTTTCTTCTTCGCTTTTTTTTTTTATATAAGTTTCAATTCTGAGAGTGAAAGAGAAGAAAACAAGTTTTTCTAGCGAAACTTTTCAGCTCCAAGCTTCAGAACTCGCTTGTTTGATCGGTTCTGAACGAACAAAAATTCCCTAGAGATCCCCGTTTGCCAACTACTTTCGCAGTGTGACAGTTTGAACAGAATTATCATTGTTCTTTTCGTTTTCCAAGCGACGATCAAAGAAATCTCGAAAGAAGATTTTCTCTGAGAACGATGGTAAATGTAAATTCCCTAGATGACTAAGAGCGGCTAGGGATCCCTAGAAAGTATCTCTCTACCTGAAATTAATCTCCCAGTAAAAGAACTATAAAAGGATTTATATTACTGTGGTGAGTCGAAACGAATATTTGCTGTTAAAATTATAATGTCTGTACTTTTTCACGACCCGCCATGCAGTGCTGGCAACATTTTTACGACGAGAAATAAACGAGGTCGAAAACAAAAACGTCCGCGGAAATGTCAGGCGAGAACGGACGCGGAATTCACGACCCTGTCGCCGGATTGAAACGTGCTTGCACGTAATTCGTTATTGCGGGCACAAAATACGTGGCCCCGGAAGTGGCGGGCGTCGATTCGACGTCGAAGCACGTCGGGACGCCTCTGCGGATCCTGCTTGCCTCTGCAGCAATCGATGCATCAATTTCGACCACTATGGATTTCCTCGAGTGTCTTCTGTTTCGCGAAATACGCGAACATTTTTCAACATTTTTCATAGTCTTTTGTTATTAGATTAATGTGCAGTTCTGACTTAATGGTTGACTCGTACTACTGAAAATTCGATCTTATTCATCTAACATATAATTAATAACGAATGACTTGAATTAATAAGCAGTTTCTATAAATTTATAATTCTTTCATAAGAAAATTATATATTTAGGTGCTGGTATCGTCAGATTTCTATTGAATGTCCTATCAATCCTTGACTCGTACTACTCCGAATTTGATCCTACTGATCTTACATTCTTTGGATAGTTCTTACTTTATATACAATATTCATCATTCTTTTCTTACCATCCTCGCCAAATGACACTATTAAAATTCCGAAAAGTAACTACAGATTCGTTCACCCGAACTTTTTACCATGAAATCCAATTAAATCATTGCCAACTGTGCCAAGAAGATACGGAAATACGTCCAAATAACCGCAACAATCTTCTTTGCATTATTACGAACGATCACCGGTATATTTATGAATATTATTCCACGGATGTTAGAATAGCGTGTCCTTATTACCTTATCATAGAGACAACAAGTGACTCGAGATAAATTTCACGTCGATGGGAACAAGGAATGCATACTGCAACCGATGCACTGTTCTATTCTGGGATATTTCCTGAAAATCTTATCCTTTCTAGCATCCACTTTCTGTTATCCTCTTTTATGTACCAATCGTGTAACGTTACGAGAGAAGCGTTTCACGGTGGAAAATACAGATAAGGGGAAATACAAGGAAAGCTTTTCGTCGCTTCGGTATTCCGAAAGAAAAGTTTATACATGAATGGTTACGATTTTGGAAAAATAATTTAAAAAAGAACAGTCCAAATTTGCGGGCTCGAATCTGTTGGAACTTGCTTCCCCTCGACGACTATTAAAACTTGTTAACTAAAACATTTCCACTTCGGTCCCTGTATTTCGATTAAAACTTCACCGAGCTATTAGCCATTCAAATCAACAGAAACAAACTTCGAAGCTATTCACAGGCCTCGAGAGTGCCGGCTTATGGGAGTTACGATCTTAATTCCCTGTCGAGAAATCGCTTACATCCGATAATCACTTACTCTTCCAAGGATCTCTACAATTTGCATAATTTTCATTTTTTTAAAAAATACAGAAAACTGTCTTTCTTGGAAGAAACAGGAAGATGATAAATCATATTCTCAGATGGCGATCACGTTCGATGTTGCTGCGTTTGCCGAACAATCTTATTTCCCAGTGAAATTCTGTAACACAGAAACGGAGACAAAGCTGGGAGTAGTAGTCCATTTGTCAGAGCTCAGCTTAGACATCAGCGTGATAAAGAAGCTAACATGACTTATATGGAAACCTTTATTTTCTTTTTGTAGGCGATGGCGGCGGCGCCGGAGGAGATGCCGACTCCATGGTGGGCGGCGGCAATTCCGAGAAGAAGGTGGAATACGAGACAAATCTCTTCCTCTATAACGTACGTATTCATCCCTATCAAATGAAAATCTATCTTGATTATTACACTAGTATTTTATCGCTCTGTGAAAAAAGAAAGTGGACGAGCCCTGTCAATGTAACTATCGAACCTGATGCAGGATCAATCAATTCTAAGATGTAGTAAATAAAGAATGAAAAAGATGCATTGAGAAGTGGAGTAAAATTGTGAAAGATATATCTACGACGATTGTGTCCTGGCGGGTTCGTTGCGTGGATAATAGACGAGCCGCGGAGAAAGTTGAACGGATAAGAAAACTGGGACGACGGAGGCTCAGGCTCTCCCTTTCTTAAAAGAAGGGTCCTTCATTAAAACGCGAAAGTAAGAGGAAGGATGGTGAAAGGGGTTGAATTCTCTGAAGTGTGCAATTCGCTTAATTGTCGTTCAACGAACAAGCAAGCTGCGAATGGATTCTTCTGCGGTTGTACATCTTTTTCTTTTTCTTTTTTTTTTTTTTTTATTGTTTGAAACATCGTTACTCGTCCACGATTTTCCCCTTTTGTTCCACGAGATCGTTTTCCCCGAGCGTCCACGTGTTTCTCTTATTTTCTTTGGATTGCCTTTGAGCTTCTTACCGAGCCGTTTCTATCAATTATAATGTTTTCTTAAGCACAGTGAACTGAAAATGATACATCAGAAAAAATGATCAAGTCATACACACTAAAGTTATTTATGAGAAATTGGTGATTAGTCAAGAATCCCTTTTACCACTTTTCCGTCTCGTTTCGTCGACAAAGAGAAAGAAACAGGGATACAGGGAAAATCAACGACGATAAGGAGGAGGAAGAGGAGGTTGCTTTGGTCGGAGATAATTTCGACAGAGGCCTTCTAGTTCCAAGAAGAGAAACGGATAATTGGATATCCAGGAATCGAGGTCGAAGCCAAACCGCGTTTCGGTCTGCGAGGAACCGAAAGAGCACGTTAATTAACGGTCTATAAGGGCCACGATTCGAGCCAGCTTTCTGCGTCACTCTGGATCACCCTTTTTTTTCCTCCTTTTCTCGCAATCTTTCTATGCCAGAATACAATCGTTGCGTAAGATTGCATCTAAAGAAATAGTCGGAAATTTAGAAAATGAAATTAAAATTAAAATTAGCTACGCGGCATGACATTCGAGAATTACTGCTTTTATGCAGGAGGATTAGCTACTTCATTCTTTCGTATAAAGTGAGAAGAAACACTAACATTTTAATAAGAGATCATTTTATAACACAAAGAAACTAATTACTCTACGTTTAATGAATAGATCGTCGAGTGGAAGTTCTTCTAGTTTTCCTCGCAGCTGCGATATTTTGCTAAATCGAGGTTCAGTTTTCACGTAACCCGGGAAACGTGATTTCAGGATCGCGTTTCGCTTAATTATCTCTCGCAGATCACGCAATTATCTAGACGGCGGTTAGCGTTAGCAACACGCCACGATTCTTTCCTTTCGAGAATAGCGTAAGGCGACGCGTCGTCTCGTTAATTAATTAATTAACCGCTCGCGTTGATTAATCTTCAAGTAACGCGATCGTCCGTTCAATTAAAGCCATCCTTCGATTTATTCGCTTTTCTCTTGCCGTTGTATCGGTATCGAGTTTCCTTTTATACCGAATATTTACAGTCTGCCAGTTTCCTTTAATTGCTTCTCCGGTTTTCTTTCCCTTAAAGAAGACGGAAACGAGGATACAATAAATAATAATCTTTATTGAATAGAAAATCCTATAAGCAACTATGGCATGAGATATTTTCTATACTTTCAGGAAGAGATGGAAGTTCGGCCTCGTATTTCCACCTTGCTCAACAGTCTATCAGACTACAGCAACACTATCCCAGCCGCGACTGACCCGGACAGCAAGCCGCCACCCGCCCCGGGTGGTGCACGGATGGGCACACTGATCGGTGTGTTCCTTCCTTGCATCCAGAACATCTTCGGTGTAATCCTATTCATCCGTTTGACTTGGGTGGTGGGTACAGCTGGTGCTGTTCAGGGTTTCTTCATTGTGCTCTGTTGCTGCTGTGTGGTAAGTACTGACCATACTTGCCAACGAGTAATAATCGTGCCAAACGTGACGAAAAATACTCCGTTCTACGTAGACTATGTTGACGGCTATCAGTATGAGCGCCATCGCGACCAACGGCGTGGTGCCTGCCGGGGGGTCCTACTTCATGATATCCAGAAGTTTGGGCCCGGAGTTCGGTGGTGCCGTGGGGATGCTCTTTTACACGGGCACCACCTTGGCTGCCGCTATGTACATCATCGGTGCCGTTGAAATCGTCCTGGTGAGCTTTCAGACCTCCTTTCAATAATTACGAACACAAGTTTCCTCAGGATGTAATCAAAAAATTTCTGTTTCAGACTTACATGGCACCCTCGCTCAGTATATTCGGAGACTTCACCAAGGATCCGAGTATCATGTACAACAATTTCAGGGTGTACGGCACGTGTCTACTGGTGGTGATGGGCACCATCGTGTTCATCGGCGTAAAATTCGTCAACAAGTTCGCCACCGTTGCTCTCGCCTGTGTCATATTCTCGATCATTGCCGTCTACGTGGGTCTGTTTCGTAACTTCTATGGAAACGACTCCCTTAAGTTCGTAGTTACCTTTATACTATCTTAATAATGTTACCAGTGTCCACAGAACGTTGGGTTAACACGATTCATCGATTGTTCCAGGATGTGTATTCTGGGTAAAAGATTGCTGAAAGACATCAACGTGTTAACGGACTGTAATAAGAATACCAGCGGTGTTTTGCATCAGATCTACTGTGGAAACAGCACCAAATGCGACCCTTATTACATGGAGAATAATGCGACCATTGTTAATGGTATTCGTGGGCTGGCCAGTGGTGTATTCTTGGGTAGGCTGCATACAATGATCCTCAGACGTGTTAACAAGTGAAAGGCTCGTTAAATGTACTGATTCTGATATGTGCAGAAAACATATGGGACAGTTTTCAAGAGGAAGGACAACTGATTGCTTATGGACAGGATCCAAAGGACATTGACGTGATGTCAGGGAGTACCTACAATCAGATCCAGGTTGATCTTACCACCACCTTTACCATTCTCATCGGTATATTCTTCCCTTCCGTCACAGGTAAGCTACTCATTCAACGCCCAAATTGATCAGTCAAAAATGAATAGAAATGAAATTCTAAATACACGATCTTACCCGTTGATTACAGGTATCATGGCTGGCTCCAATAGATCAGGTGACCTGGCAGATGCCCAGAAATCCATCCCAATCGGTACCATCTGCGCTATCTTGACAACTTCAACGGTGTATCTGTCCTGTGTTCTACTGTTCGCTGGTACAGTCGACAATCTCTTGTTGCGAGACAAGTTTGGTCAGAGTATCGGTGGGAAACTGGTGGTGGCGAACATGGCATGGCCGAATCAGTGGGTGATCCTGATCGGTTCCTTCCTGTCCACCCTGGGCGCGGGTCTCCAATCGTTAACAGGAGCTCCGCGTTTGCTTCAAGCTATCGCCAAGGACAGTATCATCCCTTTCTTAGCACCATTTGCTACCAGCTCAAGTCGTGGCGAACCTACGAGGGCTCTGGTATTGACAGTCCTCATCTGCCAGTGCGGTATCCTGCTCGGCAACGTTGACTACCTGGCTCCCTTGTTGTCCATGTTCTTCCTGATGTGCTACGGCTTCGTTAACCTGGCCTGCGCCCTACAAACTCTCCTCAGGACACCCAACTGGCGACCCAGGTTCAAGTACTACCATTGGAGCCTCTCGTTCCTCGGTCTGTCCCTCTGTATCGCCATCATGTTCATGACCAGTTGGTACTACGCGCTGTTAGCCATGGGGATGGCCAGCTGTATTTACAAATACATCGAGTACCACGGAGCCGAGAAGGAATGGGGCGACGGTATCCGTGGTCTGGCTCTGTCAGCCGCTCGCTACTCGCTTCTGCGGCTGGAAGAAGGTCCACCCCACACAAAGAACTGGAGACCACAAATCCTGGTCCTGGCTAAACTGACCGATGATCTAGTGCCCAAGTATCGCAAGCTGTTCGCGTTCGCCAGTCAACTGAAGGCTGGCAAGGGTCTGACGATCGCTGTCAGCTGCATCGAAGGAGACTACATTCAGAACACTGGCAAGACTATAGCTGCGAAGGTGAATCTACGCAAGACGATCGTAGAAGAGAAGGTGAAGGGATTCGTCGACGTACTGGTGGCTAGGGACATCATTGACGGTCTGAGTTCGTTGGTTCAGACCACAGGACTGGGCGGAATGAAACCCAACACGGTGATCCTTGGCTGGCCTTACCGCTGGAAGCAATCGCAAGAAGGACTCGCAACATGGAGACCATTCCTCCAGACTGTCAGAGCAGTTGCAGCCGCTAGGATGGCTCTGTTGGTGCCCAAAGGAATCAACTTCTTCCCGGATTCAACGGAGAAAGTGGTTGGAAACATCGATGTCTGGTGGATCGTACACGACGGTGGTCTTCTGATGCTGTTGCCCTTCCTACTGAAACAACATCGCACGTGGAAGAACTGCAAGATGAGGATCTTCACAGTAGCCCAAATGGAGGACAATTCTATTCAAATGAAGAAGGATCTGAAGAAGTTCTTGTATGATTTGAGGATCGAGGCTGAAGTGGAAATCGTAGAGATGGTAAGTTAATTTTAATAGACTCGTGTAATTTGTAAATTATTCATTTCACCATGGAGATCATCGATGGGAAACATTTTTATAGAGACATTCGATGGTCAAATCCTTTTTTTTTCAAAAGTGATCGATGGAAGAATATTAACAAAGTCCGTCGTTCGAAGGAATTGAAATGAATTTTACACGATTTTAATTTGGTAAAAATTAATTTATTTTAATAATTTACACTTTACAGATGGATTCCGATATATCCGCCTACACGTACGAACGGACCCTGATGATGGAGCAGAGGAACCAGATGCTAAGGGAGCTGCGGTTGAACAAGAGGGAGACACTTGGAGTGGTAAGTGACGGAATCGCGAAGACGAGAAACACCTGTAAAAGAAAATGCGAATATGTATATGTAGTACAATATATGTTTAATAATTGTAATATGAAAACTGCTACGTCGATACTGATCGGTATGTGTCTGTTTGTTGCGTGCTCGTCACGGATAAGGTGCAGTCATTGGTGGACTTCAACGAGGTACCCGCTGAAGAAAATTTACCTCTGGTTTGTCAGACAATCCCCGGAGTTCCTTCGTCTGTTTGTTCCTCTCTATCGGTGTCATCGACACGCGCGTTCCACGATCCTCGAATTTTTTCCATCTCTCTGGTTTTTCTTTTCTTTTCTCTTTTTCTTCCGTAACAACGCATCTCGTTTGCCAATCCATTACACTGACGAACTCGCACGCGTTAATCGAATCGAGTAACTCATCCTGTCGTCAAACTTCTCCGACTCTTGGAGATGACGCGGGAATCGTCATTCCAGAACACTCACGATTCCTTTCTTTTTTAACGACAGCTAAAACAAACAAACAAAAAAAAAAAAAAAAATTTACCCTGCGATCGTTGACCTCCACTAGTTTTGCTTTCTCGCTCTCATGAACAATTATCCCTGAAAACTCATGACCGGATCCAGTTTCAGCTTGATTGGCACGTTCATTACGAATGCTTACGTAGCGATCGTTCAGTTTAGTCAGATCATAGAGTGCTTTGACGCTAGAGTTAGTCGTCTTTCGACATACCTAACTGTCTCCTGCTGTTCGGGATCATAGTGGTCCGATACAGCTCACTGACGCTCTTCGTCCTGATACAGGTGCAGGCGATCGTGGACCATCACCACAACGTGGACGCGAAGATCCCGACCAAGGTGAGATTCCAGGAGCCTGGTAGCCAGAATCCGAATGCGATCGACGAGGCCCAGGAGAAATTGGTGAATGAAAACGAGACAGGTAAAGAGACGGAGGCTGGAGAAGGAAACGAGGCCACGGAGGAAACCAAAGAGGGTAACGACGAAGAGACAAAGCTGATCAGCGGCTCCCCGAAACAGGAGAACAAAGAGAACACGGAAAAGGAAGAGAAGGAGAACGAGGAGAAAAATGCAGAGAACCCAGACGCAAAGAAACCTCCCATTACGCCGTAAGTGATGGAGACATAGGGTCACTTTTCATATTGTTATAATATTTTTATCAAAATCATCTTTTTTTTATTATTACCAGTGACGAAGGCGACGTGAGACGTATGCACACCTCCGTAAAACTGAACGAAGTGATCGTGAAGAAGAGCAAAAACGCTCAGTTAGTCATTCTCAATCTACCTGGACCACCAAGGGACACTAAAATAGAACGCGAATCAAACTGTATCCTTTCTAATCAACGACTTAATTATTATTTTCATAATGTTCTTTGATGTTTCTGTAATTTCCTTGACTAATGGAATCACAGACATGGAATATCTCGAGGTTCTCACCATGGGATTGGAAAGAGTGCTGATGGTACGAGGATGCGGACGGGAGGTGATCACCATCTACTCGTGAACTAGACCAAGAGGAATGGAAGTAATCACCTCGCATAAACAGAAATCTAGTTTACTTCTGAAAGACCTAAACGACTTCACCCTAAGGAACACGTTGCTCTTGTGCCATTGTCTGAGCAGTCACTTGCGTTACGCGTTGTGAACACGGTATACAAGACACACACATTACACACGTAAACTTACATGTACATAGACACACACCGTTTACCAGAATGATTACGGACATCGATTGACGACGCTGTTTCGCGGACTGGGTCGACGATCGAGAAATGCTCGTAGGCTAGTAACTAAAGCTGACCCTCGAGAAGGCCAAAAGTGACATGCCAAAGGATAAGTTCCCTTCGAATGAATTTCACGCGTAAACTAGGATACGTAGCATCTATCTTATTTACACTCGTCCCTTTTTCTCGAAGAGACATCCAAACAAATTGTGGAGTTTTATCGGTTGATCATCCGCGTCGGGGGTTCGGCAGACAGCCTAGCACAGAGGACTGTACACAGAGAGCATACTTTTCGAGCTTGTCACTTCAAATCAAGTACTCGAAGAGCCTTGGTTCGAGCGGAGCGTATTCTCCGATGCAGCGGCAAAGTTTCGATCTGAGGGACGAGGAAGCGGGATAATCGAGAGGGTCGACAAAGATGGAACACCGACACGTCCACCTCCCCGAAATTAAGAAAAAAAAAAAAAAAAAAAAGAAATTCTACTCCGATCATGAGATAATTATACTACTGTGTACTCCACACCTCCCGTTCGAAACTGAAATCAAAATTTTTTGGTCCGAGGCTAAGATCGAAGCATCTACGAAACCACTGCCAGAATACTTTCTAAATGCTTCGCGTTTAACCAAAGACGCGAGAGGCTCATTTTTCTACACGCATTGTCGTTATAGAGTGTATAATTAGGTATGTATAATTCTACTGCTTATAGGGTGAACTTAGGGTAGCCTAGGATAGCGCGCTGAAAACATGCGCGGCGGAAGTTGGGCGGCGAACGTTGGCAGCGCGAACGATTTTATGTGGACGCAGGAATTCTCGCAGCTACTATCACTGTGAGATAAGAGGATAACTAATATTTCCCTGTTTAAGTGCTCGTGCTACTTACGAAAACTTTCCAAGCTAAACGACGTGATTCATATGAAAAGTATGTTACTGCCAAAATTCTTGAAACTCGTTAATTAGAATTTGCCCGCGGCGAATATACGACGGACAACTGTAAACGAAAAGATTTCTGACTTTGGATGTGCTAGAAAAAAAAAAGAAAAGAAAAAGAGAACATAATATAGTCCTAAGATATATTACTTGAAATTACTAATTTATATTAAACTACATCGATCTAACATCAGGATCTCATAGCAATACAAATTCTTAATCTACTTTAACGAAGTCGTATTACACAAAAATAAAAAAAATCCCTTAAAATTATAAAACCGCGTCACTGCATTGCTGAGAAACATAGAACTACTACTATTACTACATACTACTACTATGATTACGATTCTAACACTAAATGTACTAAGGAAAGTATACTAATTCGCGTCACTGTTACATCGATATAACGTGAAGGACTAGCAATAGTAGAACTAACGTAGGTCTCGAATTTCTTAATGTATTACAAAATACTCTATCGCGAAAGTCTTGAAATTACTATAAACTATAGGTCGCAGATTAATTAGGTACTAGAATGTCCAATATCTCGACGAGGTAAAGTGGACTTTTAACTAATATAAATGCTAGCAGCGATGCTAACATCGGTACGCACAGAACATCGATATGCAAGAAAATCTATCGTTCATCGTTTTATATATATATATATATACACACATATATATGTACAACATTCCACCATTTAAAAAAAAAAGAAAAAAAAAGAAAAAAAAGATTCTCTCGACATTGCGTCCCCATAAAGGTTCGAGCCATAGCGTTCCTTCCAACTAGCGCCGCGATGGCGAACGGAAGATACACGATGACTTAATCGCACGCATCTCCTTCAGGACTGAAGTTCGTTTTTTTTCCACTATATTTCTCAACTTCTTGCGCGTCGAAATCTTCGTTTAGGTTCGCGTTTATACTGTCCAAGGCCTACCGGCCCGATTCACCGCTCTAACACGCCTCTGCGTAAAAGGGAACAGGCGCACGATCAATGTACTTAAAAATGTGCACGCGCAAGCGTACCACGGCTGCCTCAACCTGTTAACCGCATTAGCAAAGAATCGTTTTCCCTTCTGTTAACTTCGTTACGTCCTCGACAAATGCAAATACATGAATCTGTCTTGGTCTCTAGATAGCATACACAGTATTATCCATTGAACGTGTTGATCGTGTTGGCCGGTTAACAGGTTGACTAAGCGTTTCACAGGAGGGAACACGGTGAACGGCGAACTAAAATACATACGTGAGATTTTCGCGAGGATCCCTTAACCGATTCTTCATCAAAGAATATAGCGTGTAGCATTGTAATCGGTTGCATTTAAGTGTCGTGTGCATGTCACGTTTCATTCACGGCTTCGAAACTCTTCGGCCGTGGCTCATCTCTTAGATAGGCACTATCTAATACGTATATATATACATATATATATACACATACTTATATATATATACAGGACGGATAGTTTCTCTATGTAAAGAGGGAACGTCGAGAATCGGCGAACAGAGAAAGAATTGGTCCTTTTTAAAGGGAAGATTAATCAGCTAGCACCGGGTCGCTTAATCGTACTCGTCGATGTACACTGTGTCTACTTAATCGAAGCCCGCGAACGGACTACCGGATGAAATTTATCGAAAATGGAAAAGAGTCGAGCAATCGCGAACCGGTACGTCTGTATCCACTGGGTAAATTGCACCCTCGTTCTTCTTCGATTTACGGTCTTTATTATATACAGGGTGATTCGAGGATAGGATTTTAACTTCCAATCTCAAATGATTTCAAAGTACTTATAAAAGTGGATGGATAGATTTCGATCATATTATTTAAATTATAAAACTTAGTTAACGTACTTAATGCTTCGTGAATCTTGATCAGTGTTTCGAAACATCCTGTATATAATTAAGGTTTGTCATCTTAAACGAGTTCGAAATTCGGGAGTAATTTTTATGAAGTCTCTTTATCTACCTCATCGTCAGCGCACGTGAAAGAGGCGAAATTAGAGAAATGATCCAGAAAGCAATACGAAGAGAAGCGGAAGAATCTAAGAAACCGGATGTTATATGAAACCGACCTCGTACAAGCGTGCAGGGTTCGCGGGATGCTCCCTCTGTCTCTGTCTATCGTCCACGATGTTGCGACATGTACTTTCTAATTTTAATACGTTACTCACTTGTCGATTACCATATATTTTATGTGTACTTGCCTATCTGATAGGCATCGGCACCGCATAGTTTATACAAGACATGTTGACTATGAGAAAAGTTTATCGCGAGAGAAAAAGTAAAAGAAAGAGCAGTAGTCGAGGAGAAGGATAAAAAAAGATGAGAGAAGAAAATGATTACAGATAGAATGCTAAATGTGTTGTACATAAATAAATAGTAGAATTTAAGGATCCAGTCAGGTAGAGAAAGAAGGGATAATCCTAAGGGGCAAACAAAATATTCAGGAACGAAAGTGGTGGAAAGAAAGTGAAGAGAAACATCTTTTTCATAGATCAAACAGTATTGCAGTGTAATTCCGCTGCCGCTTTAATATTTTACTATGTCGTGTTTACTTGAACAAAAAAATTGCACAATTGACCGTATGGACACACATACACACACGTTACGTAAGTGTAAAGGAAGAGATAAAGAGAAAAATTAAGATTTTAGAGAAAAAAAAAAAAAACTGGTATACAACTGCGAGCTTGGCAATTGTCATCGGGGGTTTATTATCGTGTGTCGTTTGCGATCCGACCCGTTGTGAACGGGCATTCGCGTCTGATTTAAATCACCTTCTTAGGCTGTGAGATGCAAGCTAAGCCAGCAGAGAAACTTGCTCGAGACCTCAATCATATGTGTCAAATCAAGCGTCAGATATTATGCGTATTATACATACATACATACATAACATACTTAAAAAAAAAAAGAACCTTATATCTCGTTAACACCGAATCTAGCCTTCTTAACCGGGATCTATGCTCGCTCATGGCGACACCACATAGTTTTCTTCTCCTCAAACACACGCATACATAAACGTACACATATACCTTTTAGCGTTCGAGTTACAAAGTGGGAAAGAAATTAACAAAAAAAAAAAACCAGTAAAAAAGAAAGAAAGAGAAGAGATAAGGAAAGAATGAAGAGAAAGGTAGATTCTCGTTCAAGGGATGAAAGTTAAGGTTCGACGTTGAAGAGAAAGAGCGAGAAGAGATGATGGGTTACGAAACGAATATATGTATATATAGATATGCACATATACGGATTCTATATATATGTGTATATATGTATATGTATATAAAGAAAAAACAAATATAAGATATATTTGTAGATACGAACATCTTAGCCATCTGATTAGCGTATGTAATAGAGTCAATACTGTGAAGATTACCTATAACTTTACCCCTATACCCTTTTAGATGATAGACGATGATGATAAATACTTGTAATTAACTTATGGAAGATGAAGTATATCGAATGAAGAAACTATACTACGATCAAATCGATTAAATAAATAAACGACATACACCTATACGACCAGACTTGTTTTACGGTATTTCTTGCAGATTATTCTTTGAATTATTTTAAGTTAACGCGCATTATGATTATGTAAATGAATTTATATAAATCTTAAGATAAAAATTAAGAGAAGTTATTTGTTTTATATGTTTGAAGAATCGTTTATGAACTTCACTACTCCTCTCATTTCTTAAGGAATAGGTATTTTATTTTCCTTCCCAAGATTATTTCTTTCTTAATTTCTACCTCTTGTTTTCTGCTGTATAAATTGTCTTAACAATTATAAGTTTTAAAAAGTGCATTTGAAAAATTAAGATTGATAAACCCCTCAACGATAGATGGCGCAAATTCTACAAGTCTACCAACCTCAAAAGCTAAAATATAGAAGGCATCATTGCACTCGACTGCTTAAGGTGATGCAAGCGTCGAAAACTTTACCGACAGTCCCTAGAAAAATCCCTAGACGCGAGTTTTCAAATTACGTCCTCATTTCTAAACAGAATGTAAAAAAATTTGAGGGACGTGTTCAGAAGGTTCTAAAGAATATTTGTCCGGTTCTTATATTATCCAAATCGTCAAAAACTTATAAAATATTGAAATTGCTGTCTGTCAACGGTCAAGAAAATGGCGGATCGGACTCACCTGCATTGATTTATTCGTAATATAAACATTTCTGTGAATCGTATGTCCAAATAGGGACCAGACTGATATTCTTTGGGTCGGATAGAATAAAACGAGTACCCAAGGGATGATGTACAAGTCTCCAGATAGAAGTAATTTGAAAACTACGATTTCGTTGATTGTTCACTCGCGAAAGACGTCAGCAAGGTAAAACAGACCAGAAATTTAGTTTCTCGTTCATTCTGTAGGGCGCAGTTCGTTCGTTTGATTAATAAACAATTGTAAAATTAAAAATAATAATTAAATAGTTTTTAATAGAATAATTAAACAAAATTTTGCAATATACCCACGCGGAAATGTAAAGAAATAAACAATTTAAATAGATATAACAATAATTTGATTAATAAACAATTGTAAAATATAAAATAATAATTAAACAAATATTAACAAATATCAGATAGAAATAATTAAATCTACGGAACCGGTGAAGCGGAACGTCACGCTTGATTGCGCGCGCCGCGCGCCGGTACATGCGCGACCCGTACAGAGGTCAAATCTAATCAGTCTTATCGCGACCGCCAAAGGATACGGATGGATCTGTCAAACATATACCGGTACGGGTTGATACCATGGATATTCGTGCATGGACTTATCAGTGTATTACCACAAGTGTTACTGTGTTTGCCTATAGTGTTTCCTATAGTGTTTCCTATAGTGTTTCCCATGTGTTTTGGAATATTTATACGGATATATTAGTTCGTTTTATGGTGTGGAACTCCATGTACTTGCATGTGCTTTATTGTGTTTTATGTTGTGGTACCCCATGTACCTGCATGTGCTTTATTGTGTTTTATGGTGTGGTTCCCTATGTGCTTTGGCATATTTTTACGGATTTATTAGTGGGTTTTATGGAGTGGTACCCTATGTGTTTTGGCATATTTATACGGATTCATTAGTGGGTTTTATGGAGTAGTACCCTATGTGTGTTGGCATATTTATACGGATTTATTAGTGGGTTTTATGGAGTAGTACCCTATGTGTTTTAGTATATTTATACGAATTTATTAGTAGGCTTTATGGAGTGGAACCCTATGTGTTTTGCTACAATTTTGCAAATATTTTATGGTGTTCTATGGTTTTGATCTTCATGTGTTTTGGGATGTATTTATTTGCATGTGTTTTACCGTATTTTATAATGTAGTTATTCCTATATAGTTTTGCATGAATATTTTTAAATTATAGTATGTATTAGCATATTAACTACAACAAATTGAGAGAAAACATATATCGTTCAAGAATCGTGATTTTTATGCTTCCAGATGAGTGCTTTGGCCAGTGGGGGTACCGTTTCTTTGACGAGCCAACAGTCGAGCTATGAATTAATCTAATAATAAGATGCGTGGCGAGTGCAGTGGTGCAAGTCAACGATCGGTGAGTCGCATGCTTTAAAGTTCCTCCGGTTCCCATCATGTCATAGGACGAATGGTCCGTAGCGACACGGGAATTGGTTGTAATTTTTATTTTTTGAGCGAGCATAGTGACCCACGAATATCACTGTATTATTTTATACAATGATAATCGTGTAAATTGCTTTTTTGTGTATTTTATGCCTTAGCTTAGGATAGGGTTATCTTGTACATATTTACATATATAGATTTCGAGTTTAAAAATGTAGAGAAGTCGGATGACCCTCCGACTTCACAATACACTTTCTTTTTTATATGTACAAGAATTTATTTCGCGATGAGCAGATTTCAATATCAAAGTAATAAGCATGATTACTATTAATTATTATAACTACTTACTTTGATAACGAAATCGCTCTTGAAATTGAAACGTTTTTCCAATTTTACTCGTGAAATTGGCATCAGTTTAGTATATGGGCTGGCCCCCAGGGGGGTTGGTATTTGCTCTTCAAGCATTGTATAAAGTTCCCCTTTCGTACTTGAAATTTATTCTGTCACGTTCACGGTTCTCGACCCTAATCACTCATCATTCGCACTTCAGCCTCACGAACTCTATCACATAATCATTTATCCACCCGCATACCCTTGTGTAGTGAAATATAACCCCCTTAGGATTTTCAAGTTAAAGTAGTGTTGCGAAAAATTTTCAACGCGAGAATAAATATTACCCCGTTAGGATTTTCATGTTTAAGTAGTGTTGCGAAAAATTTTAAACGAGAGAGTAAATATTACCCCGTTAGAATTTTCAAGTTTAAGTAGTGTTGCGAAAAATTTTCAACGCGAGGGTAAATATTACCCTGTTAGAATTTTCAAGTTTATGTAGTGTTGCGAAAAATTTCCGGCGCGAGAGTAAATATGACTATACACTGACTAGTATTCCGTGGGAATCCTTTTGGTTTTTATTTGATAAAATTAGTTACAAGGATTCCGCGGCATAAGACCGTGAACACCACCTCATGGGAGATAAAACCATGCATTACTAGGCCTTTGCAGGCACAGCCATAGAGTACGGAACATTTAAGTATGTTGCATCCCATACGCTAAGCTGTCTTAAAGTCCTTTTGCCTATACTATGGGCGTCCACCACTCGGACTCGTTGGATGCAACGTGTTCGATGGGTGGGTAGCGCTCTTAGCGAAGGGGTGCACCCTGCCTGGGCCTAGAGCCTTAAACAGGTGGGGTGGGTGGTATGTAGCGTCGGGCGCTAGTCCAGGGGGCCTAAGAACCTCCGTTGCCAGCTGATATTAGCAGTGGACGAATGTTCAGTCATATTTGCTCAATTTTGCTTTTCAGTATTTGCTCTTCAAGCATTGTAGAAAGCTCTTCGTTCGTACTTCAAATTCATTCTGTCACGTTCACGGTTCTCGACCCTAAACACTCATCATTCACTCTCATCATTCATCAGTATAGTGAAATATTAGCCCGTTAGATATTTATGTACTAGTCATGTTTTTAGATCAGGATTTTCTATTTTAATTAGTGTTGCGAAAAATTGCCAACGCGAGAGTAAATATGACAATGCACTGACTAGTATTTGGTGGGAATCCTTTTGGTTTTTAAACTCAATCCAATATTTTATTTATTTAATCAAATTAGTTACAAGGATTCCGCGACATAAGACCGTGAAACACCATCTCATGGGAGATAAACCCATGCATTACTAGGCCTTTGCAGGCGCAGCTTTAGAATACGGAACATATGAAAATATGTTACCATATTCTAAACTGTAGTCCTTTTGTCTATACTATGGGCGTCCGTCAATCTGACACCGTTGGATGCAACGTGTTGGACGGGCGGGTAGCGCTCTTAGCGAAGGGGTGCATCCTGTCCTGGCGTTACGACGTCCAGGCGGGGTGGGTGGTATGTAGCGTCGGGCGAAAGTCCAGGGGGCCTAAGAACCTCCGTTGCCAGCTGATATTAGCAGTGCACCATGTTTTATGTCATAGTTGCTCAATTTTGCTTTTCTGTATTTGCTCTTCAAGCTTTATATTTGCAAAGTTGAGTCACTTTTATTAAAAATAAAACCCCCTTGGGGGGCCAGCCCATATACTAAATCGGAGCCGTGAAATTTCGCCGATATTCTTACTTTTAATAAAGTGAGAATATCATCTTTAGTTTTTGCTAATCATACGTTTTAGCTTAGGCATTTCAGCACACATGAAGAAAACTGGTAGGTGAAAATACCTTTGGCCTTGTTCATTTTTATGCCCAAAGCTCATTCGGGTACTTAGATGTACTCGCGTGGGTGGAGGGCGGTGGACAAGGTTTAGTTTTAAGTGTAATACATTTTGGCGACTGACAAAAGTAGTGAACCAATAGTGAACCACGATAGAAGTTCCACATGTGTGTGTGTGGTTAGGATGTGGGATTTGTATCGTTTATTAACAATCTTAACTTACTATAATATTACAAAATACTTATCAAGAATAAATTGAAAAATTTTTACATTAGATAATTCAATAGAATACGAAAATTAAATGTATTACTTTAGCATAATGTTCACTATTATTTGTCAG